TCCAAGGCGTGGTTAACCCTGCGGGGCTGCAAAGCGGTTGTCCGTGAGCTAGAGTTATTAGCTCACACAACTACGATAGCGTTTGCGCCCCCTACGGTTTCTTACCACGGCCTTCCCCCTGCCCGAAAGGCGTAGCATTCGCATCATGTCCCAGGCCCAGCTAGACGAGGTCATGGCTCAGATGCAGGCAATGCAAGCCCAGATGGCGAGTTTGAACAGTGAAGTCGTGAGACTTCGGACGGAGAACACCGAGCTTCGCCAGACGCGTGGTGAAGCGCGTCAGGAGTCGCCTGGAGTCGCCGAAGACGAGGTCAAGCAAAGTGCCGACGACGCAGCGAGCGAAACCGTCCTTGACGAGCTCGCACGGGAGTTGGAGCAGGACGACGTGCGTACTGTGACCGTAACGAAGATTAAACTCAAGCCTGCAACACCGCCCCCGTTCAATTCTTCGGACAAGGCGACGACGGTGCAAGGGTGGCTGTTCAGCATGGAGCTGTTCTTCACGGCGGCAAGTGTGCACACCGATGATGCTCGCATTAATTATGCCGTGTCGCTGCTCCGAGGACCGGCGTTGGATTGGTGGCGACGACAGTTGGCGATTGGGACTCCGGCAGGAGTGAAACAGGCGAAGGACGGGACTTCGGACTCTTCAAACCAACAGGCAGAAACAATATTCGGTACGATCACGATTCGCACGTGGAAACAGTGGGGCACAGCTCTGCGAGCTCGTTTTGAGCATTCATCCGCCTCAGACGACGCTCGTATGAAGCTGCGCAACTGGCGGCAGGTGACTACTGTTCAAGATTACACTGCGTCGTTCTCGGCACTTGCGGACCAAGTCGACGACCTCAGCGAAGCGGAAAGACGGGACAAATACGTTAGCGGGCTGCATTTCGATATTCAATACGAGTTGCAGTGGTCCCGTCCCAAGACGTTCGATGAAGCCGTCCAGCTGGCGTCAGCAGCCGATGCACTGCAGCAGTGGGCGAGAAAGAACAACAGGGATGTTGGTCGTTTTCGTGGACAGTCTCCCCGCCCCACGATCAATGGCGTGTCAGCGCCCGATGAAATATTTCACGGGCTATGTTTTCGATGTGACAAGCCAGGTCACCGAGCTAAGTACTGCCCGACGGCGCCCAAGAAGACGAAGAACGACAAGGAGAAGCCGGGAAATGGGAAAAGTCAGTAGCAGACGGGCCCCCTACTGACGAGGCTTTGTCGCCCGAACTTCAGCGTTCCCACCAAGTTGTGGTCCCGATACACGCTATCGACCGCACTCGGACGAATAACGGGAGCGAACCTGAAGATCACCCTGTGCTGGTAGAAGGCAAGGTTAACGGCAAAAAAATAAAGTTATTTGTGGATGGCGGAGCTAGTCACAGTCTCATACACGTGACAACAGCAAAGCAGTTGAAGCTGACGTTGGAAAAATGTCTTCCCGAAATCGACGCGCGACTGGTGGACGGAACTCCACTTGCAATTAGAGAACGAGCGCGCATGGTGCGGATGAAGTGTGGCGACGACTTCGGATTCAGCATGCCCATGCTGGCCACGACGCTGGACGGCTGCGACATTCTGCTTGGGCGTGATTGGCTGCGAAAATACAATCCGAGGATCGACTGGACAACTGGCGAATGCAGCATACACTGTGCGAACGGGTGGCGCGTACTTCCAAGCTGGCGTGGGAGAGATCCGGTGTCGACACGTGTCAACGCCATCACCCTCCAGCGAGCGGTTAAAAAGGAGCTGACTTGTACGCCGTCCACCTGGCCGACGCGACGGTCGACGACACGCCAAAGGACATTGACACACTTTGTGCCAGTGTCCCTGCCGAGCTCGCCGCGCTGATTCGACAGTACCCGGATATTTTTCTGGACGATCTGCCAGCAGGATTGCCACCCGAGCGCCCCCAGGACCACAAAATTGACCTGGAACCCGGCGCGCAGCCTACAGTCAGGACCCAGTGGCGGCTGACTCAGCCGGAGCTCACGGAGTTGCGAAGCCAACTGGACTACCTCTTGGAGAAGGGGTTCATTCGGCCCAGCACCTCCCCGTTCGCAGCACCCATCCTGTTCACGCCCAAAAAAGACGGCGGGCTGCGAATGTGCATCGACTACAGGGCGCTAAATCGACGAACAATCAAGTCCCGCTACCCAATCCCACGCGCGGACGATCTTCTCGATCAACTTCGCGGAGCTCGCTTCTTCTCGAAAATCGACTTACGCGGCGGTTACCATCAGATCCGAGTCTTCGCTGACGACTGCCACAAGACGGCGTTCCGAACCCGCTATGGCAGCTACGAGTACACAGTGATGCCGTTTGGCCTCACGAACGCGCCCTCCACTTTCCAACTCACCATGAACGGCGTATTCCGAGACCTGCTCGACAAGTGTGTCATCGTCTATCTTGATGACATTCTGATCTACAGCAAGACACAGGAACAGCACCTCAAGGACCTTGAGCAAGTTTTCCGGCGGCTGCAAGAAAACCGGCTCATCACGAAGGGCTCCAAGTGCGAGTTCCTAAAATCCGAACTGGGATTTTCGGGACATGTCGTGGGAGCGGACGGCATAAAAATCGACCCGAAAAAAATCACAGCGATTCGCGACTGGAGGCCGCCGATGAATTTACAGGAGCTGCAGAGTTTTCTCGGGTTCGTTAATTATGTCCGGAGGTTTATCCCCAATATGGCAGGGATAACCGGACCGTTAACTGACCTGCTGCGGAAGGGCACTTTGTTTGAATGGGGGGAGAGACAGCAGACTGCTTTCGATGAACTGCGAAATTCTCTGACGTCACCCCCAGTCCTCCGAATCGCCGACCCATCTCGACCGTTCGAAGTCTTGACGGACGCTAGCGATTTCGCCATCGATGCGATACTGTTACAAGATTTCGGCGACGGACTCCAACCCATCGCGTATGAGTCTAGGAAGTTGCAGGCAGCCGAGCGCAACTACCCCGTCCACGACAAAGAAATGCTCGCCATCGTGCACGCATTCAAGGTGTGGCGATGCTACTTGACGGAAGCTGACGTGACAGTACGGACAGACCATAAATCCCTACAGTACCTCCGCGCGCAGCCGAATCTAAATCCACGGCAGATTCGCTGGCTGGACTTCCTCGAAAGCAACTTCCACTACACCATCACGTACAAACGGGGAGCGAATAACATCGCTGACGCGCTGACAAGACCATCCGCCCACCTCGCCTCAATCATCGTCGCAAAATCCAACCCGCTGCTCACTGGCCTATTTACCCACGGCTATACCACAGACCCCTTTTTCACCCGCAACCACCACCAACAAGCCACCACAGCCAAAGGACCCTACTTCCTAAAAGCCGGTACTGACCGTATCTGGGTTCCCGCCTACAGACTCCTCCGCGAATTACTTATTCAAGAAGTCCACGATTCTAACCTCTCCGGCCATTTTGGGGTTGATAAAACCCATAAGTTATTCCACCGTTTTTATTATTGGCCTGATTCGGCGTCTGATGTGCAGAGATACGTATCCGCGTGCCCGATCTGCCAACGAATGAAGTCTTCCCGACGGCGGCCAGCTGGACTGCTGCAACCGCTCGAGCCACCCCAGCGACCGTGGCAACATGTGACGATGGACTTTGTCACGGGGCTCCCAGCCGCCGCCATGGGCAACGACGCCGTCCTGGTCGTCGTCGATCGTCTGACGAAGATGGCACACTTCGCACCCTGTCGCACAACAATCACAGTCGAAGATACAGCGAAGCTTTTCATCTCCACCGTTGTTCGTATGCACGGCATACCCTCAGCGATCATCAGCGACCGCGACCCAAAATTCACGTCCAAGTTCTGGCAGGAGACATGGGGGCAGTACGGCACACGCCTCCAGTTTTCCTCCGCCTACCATCCTCAAACCGATGGACAGACAGAGCGAACCAATCAAACTATGGAGCAGCTGATACGCACCAACTGCCCGGATCCTGCCCGGTGGGAAGAATTCCTGCCCATGCTGGAGTTTTCGTACAACAATGCCCCATCCGCCACGACTAATCACTCGCCGTTTTTTCTAAACTACGGCATGGATCCGACAGTCCCCACGACTACCAACATCGACAACCCAGTGCCACGTTCCCAGCAGTTCGTGAACAGTTTGCAGGAGGCCTGCGAAAAAGCGATCGAATTCATTCGCAAGTCCAACACAACCGCCCGCCGCTACACAGATCTTCATCGCCGCGATATCACCATGGCTGCAGGGCAACTAGTCCTTCTCGACACAAAGAACCTTTGCCTGCCCCTGCCTTCAAAACTTCGCCCGCGATTCTGTGGACCTTTTCGTATTGTCAAGATGGTGACACCTGTCACAGCGAAATTATTACTTCTGGACGAGTGGCGCATTCACGACGCGTTCCACGTCAGCCTGCTTCGTCCTTACGTCGCCAGCACGTCTGCAGTCGCACGCCCAGCGGCCGCCCCAAGTGTCCGCCCAATGGCTGAACCGACACTTGAGCCTTTCCGGCTTTTGAGTCATCGCGTCCGCCTCGACTCCACTAATCGCCACGTGGATTTTCTTGTCCGCTGGGTTGACCGTACAAGCGAAGACGACACCTGGGTCCCTTCCGACTCGCTTCAAGAACACTCGGTGCTCAAATCTTATTTGACCCGAAAAGGCGTTCCCGATGTTGATCACCTCCTTCCTTAGGGGGGGGGTAGTGTAAGGAAATTTATTCCTTACCGGGTTGTACTACAATCGCGTACACCCGAACTCTCGGCAGACCAGGCTCGATCCGTTTCTGACGCGGCCCCGAGGCACGCCCGCGCCGCCTCCGACCCTTTCGACCGCGCCTGTACCCAACCTAGCCCTCCGGGCTCGTCGCCTAGCTAGAGCACTCGCTATATAATGCTAGGCTATCCTTCTTGTACTCGTGATTATTATTATTCCGCGCACTCTCAGTTATTATTCATAACAACTCGCGTACCCGTTACGATCTTCCTCGAGTGTGGTGTTACACTTCAGAAACGCTTAAGTCCTTGAGGTATTTCCAACAAAAGAAAACCCTCTTTCCAGCACCAATGCTAGCAACCTGTTCCTTCCTGAGCAACACTCCTCTGCATTGCTTGCTTTCAAACTCCTCAATGACCCCCTTCTCGACAAGGAAGTGCATTTTGAGCCCTTGTCCTTCATTAAAGGCCTCCGGCTATTATAATCGGGGGTAGACCTCATTACCCAACATCTCTACTAACCTTTCCGCCTCTGCTTCCTCCCTGTATTCCCTTCCAAAAACCCTCTTTCCCTGCCAATTTGAGATAAGAGGGCACTCATCAATCGAGCACCACTGCAGCCACTGCATGTCACGGAAAGAAGGTGGCAGCTGAGACAGCTGCTCACACAACTTGACCTGCAGGCGCTTCAGCCGGGGCAGCAGCGGAAGAGATTCTGGCAAGCTGCAAAGACTCCACAGATTAATTAGATCAAGGGTTTGGAGAGAGGAGAGCTTTCCAAAGTCTTGTGGCATTGAAGAGAGTTCCTTGCACGAGGAGACGCAGAAATGGCGCAGGCTGGACAGATGGGGGAAGGAATCTGGGAGCCTGGTTAGCTTGGAACACCTTTCGATGACCAAAGACTCGAGTTTTTCAGCTGCCCGAACGACTCGGGCAGCTCGCGCAGACTCTCAAGGGCAGAAAGTTTGAGGGAGGCGAGCCTTGGGAATGTTCCGAATGTTTCTGGCAGCGCTCTTAGGCGCTTGGCAGAGGCAATCTCGAGATGCTCCAGATTCGCCAGGTGGGTGAGGGAAGCAGGGAGCGAAAGGAATGCAGACAGGTTCAACAGCTTCAGCCTTTTCACCGAGGAAAGACCGCCCGGGGATGGGTTGGAGTCAGGTGCTTGGGGAGGAACAGCACTGGTATGTACGCTGTGCGGCGACGGAAGCACTGAAGCTTCAACGCCTCCACAATTGCTGCCTCCGCTGCTGCTGCTGCTGCTGCTGCCACCGCCACTGCCTCTGCTGCCGCCGCCGCCACCGCTGCCGCCGCCGCTGCTGCCGCCGCAGCAGCTGCTGCTGCTGTTGGCAGGCAGGGTGTGAGTGGTGCTGCCGACCTTGTACAGGCGCCGGCAGCCCTGCACTTCAAGCTCCCGCAGCCGAGGCAGCTCAAACACCCACCAGGGGAGAGTTTTCATCCCATTCAAGTCAAGGATTCTGAGTTCCTCCAACCCTTCTAGTCGCCGTATCTCCCCTGGCAGCTCCCTCAGCTCGTGGCAGCCGTGCACCGTGAGGCTGGTGAGAGTGCGCGCGAGGCGAGGGGTTGAAGCAGGGAAGGCCGACAGGTGCGGCATCGACTTTAGAGCGAGCTTCTTTAGGGTTCCAAAACCGCCAAAGCTCTCTGGCCGGGTGCCTCTGAAGCACTTGAGATCCGCAATCTCGATCGTTTCGAGCGATGGAATGGAGGAGAGCGATGAAGGGAGGTGGTAGAGACTTTTCGCAATTCAAAAGCAGCTCTCGCAGGCTCTGTAGGCCGCTCCCCATGCCCTCTGGTAGAGCAGTCAGCACTGGACAATGGTTTACTTTCAGCCGTTCAAGAGAGGATAGCCGACCGAGGGAATCGGGCAGCCGCCGCAGCTTATCACATGAGTACATATCCAGCTCCTGGAGATTTTTCAGCTGCCCGAGAGATTCCGGCAGGTGGGTGAGTGCTTCAAGCCTCCACAGATGCAGAATTTCCAGTGCTCTCAGCTGCCCGAAACCCTCAGGCAGAGATGTCAGACTTGGAAGGCCCGATAGGTGCAGAGTCTTCAACGCAGTCAGCTGCCCGAAGCAGTCGGGCAGGGATGCGAGACTGGGAAGGTCTTTAATGTGAAGTTTCTGGAGGGCAGCTGCAAGCCAAAGGGAGTCAGGCACGCTTGTGAGCCTTCCGCCTTCCACCTTCAATGTCCGGAGCCTTGATAACCAACAGCCTATGTCACCAGAAACCGCTGAAAAGCTCACTCCTGACAGATGGAGAGTGGTGAGAGATGTGAGGCCCGACGAGGACGCTGGCAGGCGCGTCAGTGCCCTCAGTCCCATCACCTGCTCCACCTGAAGGGTTTCCAACGCCTGGAGCTGACCGAGATTCTCGGGCAGCGGCGAGATCGCACCGCAGTCCCGAATGTCAAGTATTCTGAGTGCTGGGAAATCGGGGAGAATGTCGGGTAGGCGAAGGCGACTACAGGCGATGATGGAAAGGCGGTGTAGATTGGTGAGCTGATGAATGGAAGTCGGGAGAGAGGTGATAACGGCACAAGATTCCAGCTGTAAGGACTTGAGGAGGGTTAGATTGCCGAGGTCTTGCGGCAGACGTCGCAGCCGATATGTGCGCAGCGTGAGGCTCTCAAGTGACTGTAACGAGGTGATAGAATCGGGGAGATCGAAATTAAAGGCCTCGAGGTAAAGGTTCTTGAGCCCAGCGAGTCGGTCGATGGAATCAGGGATGGTGTGCGCCTGCCAAGTAGGCGGACAACAGAGATGCAGATCTTCGAGTCGGGTGCACCCCTCGAAAAGGCGAGACATTCCGTCCGCCTCAAAGCCATCGTACATCTCTATGGCATCGATCCGGAGCTCGATCAGATCGGGGTGTGCTTCGGCCAAGGCAGAGAGGAATCTGTCCGAGATGAGAACGAGGCTGAATTCGGAAATCACGAGCTTCTTGAGCCTTGGGAATGCCGAGTGCCTTGAAAATGCAGAGAGCTGGCGGAGCAACTCGTGGGCGCTCATGCCGGCGTCTCTGCGCACGTGGACGGCGTCTTGCACGCGATATGCCACGTCACGCCATTTCTTGCACACCAGGCGCGTGGTGGAAGTCGCCGGATCGGCCGGCTAGATGCAGGATTTTCGGGAGCAGATCGTCTAATACCCGTTGGAAACGCGACTCGCCCGAGATTACGACGAGAGAACCGAAAGAAGTAGCGATATCTGACGCCATCCTGAAGGTAGAACGCGGGTTCTCTCCACTTAAGAGCAGAAGCTGCTGGTAGAAACAGAAGCTGGGAGTTTCCAGGAAAATTCACAACAATAAACACAAGCTATATGCTTGCAGCAGAGGGAATAAATGGAGATAAGATAAGGAATTCCTGGCTCGAATCGACCTCAAGCATCTGGAGCTGGAGTTACTCTGCACTGAAGAGTGCCAGATGCAAAACACGGGTGAAGGAAATATGGTAGTCCCTCGGGGTTTGCCTGATGTTTGCAGCATCAAGTGATGTTCTCACTTCCGTCTGCTGACACTCGAGCTGACATGTTTCGCCACAAGTGCAGAGTTGCGGTTTTCGCCAGCGTGTGTGCCGCCGATTCAACACGAAAGAGGTTCGGTTCGGGACACATGAAGCAAAATGAGCTTCGGAATACGACCCCTTAAGTGGAACCCCGCTGCGGGTGTGGTTTGGGGTGGTTGACAAAACATGAGGCGCAAGACCACGACGGACCCCACGGACCCCACGGACCCCACTGCTCCTTGGTGCAGGGGCCGCCAGTGGACCTCGGTCAGTACAGTGCATTTGTCAACAGGTTGTTGAACATAACTCCCATATAAGGGAAATATCACACAACGTTCTCATGCCCATCTCCCCCAACTCAGGGCATGTACTACAGTAATAGGCGAATATGGAGGACAAACTGCCTTTTATTACGTTGCTTTCCCCCCTACTTCTGGCCGTCCTTAGGTCCCCCTCCCCACCAATAGCCCCTCTCCTTTCATCTTCTTCGTCCCCTTACTTCAACTCCACCTCTTAAACTCCAACTCCCCTTCTGTCTACCTCAACACCATCTACCTAGTCCTTCCCACCCCCCTTAGCCGCCCTCTTTACACTCCAATCTCACCATATTCCCCCTCTTCCAAATTCCTTGCCCCATGAATTGTCAAACATGTGTATTTGTCATGTTTGTATAGACTGTATAGGGTCGCCTCTTAGAGGGTACAACACTTAGGTATATCTGTGTGTACTCTCACTCTATTATCATTTCACTTCTCTAATTTGTTATGGTATCACGCGTAGGTTAGGATCCCCCCCCCACCTACCGCTTCCGCTAGCCCCCCCTCCTGAGCCCCGTAGCGCCCCTCCTGGGCCCCGTCGCGCCCCTCCTAGGCCCCGTAGCGCCCCTCCTGGGACCCGTCGCGCCCCTCCTGGACCCCGTAGCACCCCTCCTGGGCCCCGTCGCGCCCTTCCTGGGACCTGTAGCGCCCCTCATGGGCCCCGTCGCGTCCCTCCCAGGCCCCGTCGCGCCCCTCCTGAGCTCCTTAGCGCCCCTCCTGGGCCCCGTCGCGCCCCTCCTAGGCCCCGTAGCGCCCCTCCTGGGCCTCGTCGCGCCCCTCCTGGGCTCCGTAGCGCCCCTCCTGGGCCCCGTCGCGCCCCTCCTGGGCCCCGTAGCGCCCCTCCTGGGCACCGTCGCGCCCTTCCTGGGCCCTGTAGCGCCCCTCCTGGGCCCCGTCGCGCCCCTCCCAGGCCCCGTCGCGCCCCTCCTGGACTCCGTAGCGCCCCTCCTGGGCCCCGTCGCGCCCCTCCTAGACCCCGCACCACCCTGTACTGCCTGGCACCGCACTACACCGCCCTACACCGCACTGCACCGCACTGCGCCGCACTGTACCGCACTGCACCGCACTCCACCTCGCTGCACTGCCCTGCACCGCACTGCACTGTTCCTGATGGCGGCGGAGCTTCGCTTCGACGCTGAAGGCCAGCCTCTGGAGTTCGAGGCGTGGCTTGCCGACCTCCGTCGCCAACTCACTGGCCAGTGGCAGGATGGTGAACCGCTTTCCGCACACCTTGACGGTACGCTCCCCTGCCCAGACCCCCCTGCTATTCTGCCCGCTGACTCCACACCCACTGAGCGCGACTCCACTGCTGCCACTGCCCGTGCGCGCTCTGTCTGGCTTTCTCGCGATGCTGTCGCCCAGCTTGCCATTAGCAACGCCCTTCCCCCGTCCGAGCGCCCTCGCTTTAGGTCTCTCACTACTGCTCAGGCATACTTAGATGCTGTCATCCAGCGCTATTCCACCCCTCCGGCTGCCTCGGTGGGTCGCCTGATCCTCCCGATGCTCTTTCCTGACCTTGCATCTTTCCCCACTGTCTCTGACCTCGCTGCCCACCTGCGCTCGATAGATGAGACCTGGCGCGCAGCCTGCACTGATGCACAGCTTAGAGCTCACCAGCCGCCCATTACCTCTACCCTCTACCTGCTTGCCACCCGCCTCCCTGACCGCCTTGCTGTCGCCCGCGACCGCTTCCTTAGCATTCACCCCGCAGACCTCACCCTCACTGACTTTGTAGACACCCTGTCTGTGATAGAGATCCGTCACCACTCCATCGCCCAGGCGAGCGGTGTCGTGCCGGTCCCTATCTTTCAGGGTTGTGCCCCCGCCCAGTGTACCTTCTCCGACGGCTCTGTCGCAGTGGCTGAGACTGCTGCTGCAGCGCAGTTTCGTTCGGGGAAGGGCCGCCGCCTCAAGGCTGGGCGCGGCGGCGGCGGCGGCGGGGGTGCGGGAGGGGGTAGTGGTGGTGTCGGGTCGTCTGGTGCTGGAGCGGACGAGGGGACCCTGCCCAGTCCAGCTGAGCCGCCGCCCCTGCAGTTGCAGCAGCCGCAATAGCCGCCGCAGTCGCAGCCTTCGCAGCAGCCGCAGCAGCCGTCGCAGACGCGGCAGACGAGTGTCCTCCCGCCCGGGTGGCCCGGCGCTGGCGGTGGCCGGGCGCGTGGTGGTGTGCCGAGTGGTGGCTCTGGCGGCGGGCGTTGTCAGTACCAGATCCAGACCGGTCCTCGCCGCGGCTTCGTTTGCGGTAAGATCGGTCACTCCACTCCCCGCTGTTTTCGTCGCCTGGACGACCTCTTTCGTCAGCGCTTCGGCCCGTCGCCAGACCTCCCGGACTGGCACAGTTTGCTTAGTCGTAAGATTCAGATTTTTGACATGGACATGGATGCCATTGTTTTTGCTCTGCATGTGATGTATGCTGATGACTCTAGTGTGCTTCCCGCCTATTACTCACTGTTGCCTAGTGTAGGTGTGCCTAGTGTACCCTCCCCTGCTGCGTCAGGCGTAGGATCCCCTGCTTTGTGTAGTCTTGGTGCTTCCGCCGTCGTTCCGTCGCCAGACGCCTCTGCTTCGCTTTCCTTCACCTTGGACTCTAGCGCTTCTCGGTGTTTCTTCCGCGACTCCACCACCCTGACGCCGCTTCCTGTTCCAGCTGCCGTTTCTCTTGCTGACCCCTCCGGCGGTCCGGTAGTCACCCGCAGTTCCACCACCCTTCCCTGTCCGGCGGTTCCTTCGGGCACTCTCACAGGTCTGCATATCCCCTCGTTCTCCAGGAACCTAGTTGGTGTCGGCTGCCTCCAGGACCTTGGCGTCACCACTACGTTCCCTGGTCACGAGCGGTATGCTGTCTGTACCGAGGCCGCCACTGGTGCCCCCCTGTCCACGTTCCCCCGGGACCCGGTGTCCGGCCTGTTCACTCTGGACACCGTGACCCCCCCGGCTGGAGCGCTCACCCAGGTTGCTGCTGCCTGCTCCTGTCGGTCCCTCACTCACCTGACCCTCCTTTGGCACCACCGCCTAGGTCACCCTGCCCTCCCGCGTCTGCGTCATATGTCCCAGCACGGTCTTGTCCTTGGTCTCCCAGGTTCCCTCCCCGCGTTTCCCTCCTCCCCAGCCCCACCTTGTACGCCTTGTGTCGTGGGTCGGCTTTGCCGTGCCCCTCACTCCTCCTCGTTTCCCCCTACCGCCGCGCCGCTGCAGACCCTGCACCTGGACGTCTGGGGCCCCGTCCCCGTCCCTGGACCGCGTCGAGAGCGCTACTTCCTTGTGCTTGTCGACGACTTCACTCGTTACACCACAGTCTTTCCCCTAGAGCGCAAGGCCGACGTGCCTGGAGCTCTCATCCCCTGGCTTGTCTCTGCGCGTGTCCACCGCGGTCTCCCTGTCTTGCGTCTTCACTCCGACCGTGGTGGCGAGTTTGCCTCAGGTGTCCTTGGTCGCTTTTGTCGTGCGGAGGGCATCACCCAGACGTTCACCCTACCGGACTCCCCACAGCAGAATGGGGTCGCTGAGCGACGCATCGGTTTGGTCATGGAGGTGGCTCGCACCTCCATGATCCATGCCGGTGCACCCCATTTTCTGTGGCCGTTCGCTGTGCGCTACGCTTCTCACCAGCTTAACTTGTGGCCGCACCCTCAGCAGCCGCAGGTTTCGCCGACCCGTCTTTGGACTAGGTCTTCTGGTGACGCGTCTGCATTCCACGTCTGGGGCTGCCTTGCTCACGTCCGTGCCTCCGGCACGGACAAGCTCACTGCCCACACCCTTCCCTGCGTCTTCCTCGGTTTTCCCCTTGACGCGTCCGACTGGCACTTTTACCACCCGCCGTCTCACCGCTTCTTTCACTCTCGTGACGTCACCTTTGACGAGTCTGTCTCCTACTACCGTCGCTTCCCCCACCGTGGTCCCCCAGTTACCCCCCGCCTGTTCCTGGTCACTCCTTCCCCGGCCCTCCTGTGTCCCCTCCTCTGTCTCCTGACCTGACTCCTCCGTCGCATGTCTGGTCTCGCCGTCCCTCCCGTGCTCGTCCTGCCTCGCCTGTCTTGGGCTCCCACCCTATGTTGCTTCGTTCCCACGCGTCTCGTCCTCCCCTTCTGCCGTCGCCTCCTCCGTCCTCCCTTGTTGTTGCACCCCCCCCGCTGTCTGACTACCTTCGTGCTGATCGTCCCCTTGTTCCTCGGGTCCTTGCCTCTCTCGTTACCGACCCGTCTGTTCCGGCCTCGTGCCTTGACGCTCTTGTCGCTGCTGTCGCTGACTTCGCCTCTACCTGCCGCCTTGACTACGCCTCCGCTCTGGTCTCTGACCCTGCCTGTCCTCCGTCTGTCGGGGGTGCTCCTGCCCTTGGCAGTGACGTCCTGGAGGACCGCTAGTTCGAGCTTGCTTTCCTCTCCGAGGCTGCTCCCCATCTCTGTTCCATGCTGCTAGTCCCTGAGGGTGACCCAGACGCTTTCGACATCCCGACCCCTCGCACTTACGCTGAGGCGACTTCGGGACCCTGGGCCTCGCAGTGGATAGCTGCCATGGAGCAAGAGATGGCATCTTGGAGATCCAACGGCACCTTCGTCGACGCAGTTCCCCCACCTGGGGTGAATGTA